TTTTGTGGGTCACATGGTTGTGTGCTTGAGTCAAGGGGGCACAGAGCCGCTTGTGGCTCGAGAGCCGCAGTTTGCCGACCACGGCCCTAGACAAACTGCCCTGCAGCCCACCTGCCTTATCAGGTGCACAATTGACTCATGCACACAACTATGTGGCTCAGAAAACAGAGGGAGCGCGAGAAGTAGCCATGCCAAAATAGTCCTGGCCCTAACCAGTTTGGCTCAGTGGTTAGAGTGTCGGCCCACCGACTGAAGGATTGGGGGTTCTATTTCGGTCAAGGGCATGTACCTCAGTTGCAGGCTCAATCCCTGGTGCAGGTCAAGGGCATGTGGGAGGCAACCAATCAATATGTATCTCTCATATTGATGTATCTCTCTGTCCCTCCCCTTCCCTTCTACTCTCTCTAAAAATCAATGGAAAGAGTATCTTCAGGTGAGGATTCACAACAAGAAGTCCTGGAGAACCTGTCCACCACTCCAGTCTGAATGCTGAGTGAGGTGAGGCAGGACAGGTGGCTCTGCTCTTCCCTCCTGTAGTCCCAGTCCTTGTGGGATCCTCCCAGGATGAGCATCTCATCACCCTGAGAATGATCCTATGACCTAAAGACAGATGTTTGTACCACACAACCCCCAAATGCAAGCCAAGCACTTCATGTGAAATAAAAACAGCAATCGGTTCCAATGTTGGAGGAAAAGCTGGCTGTATGAGGCCCAGAGAGACAGGACTATACTTTAGAAGTGGGCAACTGAACATTTTTTCAAAGATAAAACGACTATACAGTATTTTTGCCTTCTGTTTTGGTTAGGAATCACCAAATCTTTTTCCTTCAAGCCTAGGTTTCTTGCCCATCAACTTTGCTTACACTTTTCTATACCCTCAAGATTCAGCTGAATGTCCCCTCTTCTGGGAAGCCTCGGCTGACTGCCCCAAGCAGGCCTAGTCACACCCTCTCTGTTCCTAAGCGCTCGAATATCCCCACATCAAGGGCGAGGGTTACACTGTGTCATGCTTACATGTCTATCTCCCCCATGAGACCGGGATTCCCCTCCAAGGCCCAGAACCCAGGAGAAGGTCTGACCCACAGTCACTGGAGTATTTGTCGGGGATACCAGCCAGAGAATGGACAGACAGAGAGGCAATCAACTCTGTACCTTCAACTCCTCAGGCTTTTCTGTGGAACTTGAGGAGACACCAATGTGCTAAGCCTTCCTGATAAGCAGTAGGGATAGTCTGATCCTAAGAGGGGACATGGAAGACCTCTTACCTGGTGCAACCATAATTTCATTTTTCTTAGAGCGAATTCGAAGGAAAGTGAGGTCATTCTGGGGGTCAATTTCACGCACGGTGCTCCGGGCCTTCAAGATGAAGTTGTGCATGAGGTTGGCATACTGTGTAGTGGTGGGATTGTCCATGGTGCTCTTAATAGGAATGCCTGTGTGAAAAGCAGACAGACTGAGCAGGATGTTGAGGCCTTTCTGCCCAGCTCCCAACCCCACACCCCTAGCTCTAGAGTCCTGGCTGGCAGTTAACAATCAATGCCACTATTTACTGAAAGCTTGGCAGGCACAGTCTGAGCACTTCACTGCTAGTCCCCAGAACTACTCTGAGGGTGGTGTCAGCATCTTCACTTGCCAATGAGGCAAAAAAAACACCTCTGAGCAGTAAGGTGACCTGCTCATGGTCACACAGCAGATAAGCGGGGGGCCAGGATTCGATTCAGGCCTGCTGGCTCCACTGCTGGGCTCCTTAGGCCTACCCTGTCCTGACTAGTTTCTGGCAATAGAGGAGACTATCATTCAGAACACTCAGAACCTGAATAAGGAGGACAGCACTTACATATCTTGAAACACAGATGAGTAGGAAGAAGGAAAAAGGCCAGTTTGGGCCAAGACATAACCATCAGTAGTGAGCTGTTCCTATGCCCACCAAGGGAGGCTTAGTGTCCACACTGTCTGTACACGTGAAAATTAAAGCCCATTTCTCTGTCTGCTTACACCCTTGTAAACAGCATTGTTACTGCTTTCAAAGAGCCCACAAAATGGCCATTCCACTGAATTCATCATGCCTCTACTGTTTGATACTAAGGTTGGGTTTTTTACTTAATTGCTGTTCGATGAACACCATTGTCCTTCAAGCCTCTTCTATTTTAAAGACTGTTTCCTTGTGATGAACTATTCCATGCATCTCCCTCATAGGACAGCGCCTATTGTCATGGAGGTGAGGAATGGGGCTCAGCTTGAGTGACCTCGGGCCACGACTGGATCATCAGGTGCCTATGAATCACTGTCATGCCAACAGAAGGCTCCATCAATGAGGATCCAGGTGCACATAGCTGACAGATACTTGGATGAATATGGCACAAGTGGCTCCTCACACGTAAGTGGCTGGATTTGGGACCTAGGCCCTGCTAATCTGGTCCACTACTGAGCAGTCTAAAGATCAGCCAAAGGCAGTTACCCTCAGGCCTACCCATGAGTGGCAAGAACTGGCCCAACCTCGTCTTCTTAGGGCACAGGAACACAAGGGTAGGCAGAAGATGACATAGTGACAAGAGAAGCAGCTGAGTCAGTGAGGCTGTTTGAGCCAATTGAAGTCATAAGAACAAGTTGTAGTGATCACTTGCCTTTAAGAGACAAGACAACTAGGTTATCAGGGGTACTGTTGGGCCCTAGCTGGCAACAAGGTGCCCACCAGGGCCTTGCTTGATATTGGACTTTTCTAAGAATCATAGTATGAGCAACTGCAGTGATGACTGAGTAGAAACTCTGAAATCTGCTGACCTGAACTTATACCCCTGCTTTGCCCCTTCATGGCGATGTGGCCTTAGACAAGTGATTTGTTTTATTCTTCTATTTCCTCATCTGTAAAATGCCTGTGCTTCAAAGTGCTGCTGTGGGGATTAAATATGGTTTAAGAATGTTTAGCAAGAGTATCCTATATAATAAAAGCCCAGCGACCGAATGGCGAAATGACCAGAACAACCGGTCGACCAGTCACTATGATGCGCACTGACCACCAGGGGGCAGACACTCAACGCAGGAGCTGCCCCCTGGTGGTCAGTGCCTCCCATAGTGGGAGTGCCACTTGGCTGACCGGGATGAGCGGCACTCCCACAGCGGCCGATCCCCGCAGGCCACACCCTCCCACCAGTGCACGAATCTGTGCACAGGGTCTCTAGGGTATGTAATAAATGTTGGTGGTTTGTTATCAATATCACCCACAATAAATCCCACCCCCAGGTAACTTGAGCGGCCAGTCTCAAGGCCTGGAAAAGTTTAGGTGATCAAACATCTTGACCTTCTCTTTTATATACAAGGGCACCTTCTCTCAGGTTCCTCTGCCTGGAACTTTCCTTTCTTCGCCTATTCTCTCACAACTCCTACTGGTCCCTCAGGTCTCCACTTCCTGGTGGCTCCACCCACCCCAGATATGGTCAATGCCCCATTCTACCATCCCAGCACCACACAATTTTCCTTCGGAGCAGTTAGTTGAGTTTGACATCACACCTTTATGTTCATCCCTAGTCAGGACCAGGTCTGATTTTTTTGCCAGTGTCCTTAGAGACTTTGCATCAAGCATTTATTGTTGCTGATAAATGAGAAGTCACAGGGCTACTTTCAGTAATTTAGAAATGCATTTGATTACATTCCTACCAAGTGAGAGGATGTGTAAAGGAGACAAGGATCTAACCACTTGTTGGCTCATTTTAAAAACCTAAGAAAACATGAAGGTGGTGGTGGGGCAGAACTGGGGAGAATTTCAAGTAAGGGAATCAGATCATAGAATGCCAGATTCATAGGACACCAGAGCTGGGGCCACTTCAAAGATATGTCAATGATGAGGCCGCCTACCCCAAGCCCTGCCTTCACAAATAGAGACTTGCAGCCTGCAGAGCTGGCTGGTACGAGGGAGGCACAATTCTAAGCTGAGGCTCAGATCTGTCAGGTTGCATAGCCAGGTCCTTCCACCAAACCCAGCTCCATCAATCAATACCAACACCAACAAAATTTAACACAGTTATTAAGCACAAACTCAGGTGCTGGAGATACAGTAAGTGAACACAAGAGACAAATCCCTGACCTCCTGGAGCTTACACATTGAGTCTTTTATTTTACCTTGTGTAGGTAGCAACAGAGGACAGATCTGGAGACGTAGAAATGGAATAGAATGTTCCTTAAGTTCTTGCTAAGTCTGCTTAAACTCACACTTTTATAATGAAACATCATTTGCATTTGCTCAAGACAGAAATGTCAAAATGCAGTGGTAGATGGTGGTAAGTGATTGAAACAAGGGTGTGTCATGAGTTCAGGGGCAAGAGCAATCTTTCTGGGCTGGTGGTCAGGGAAGGCAGCCCGTAGGAAAAGGCAGCTGAGCTAAATCATCCTTAATTGGAAGCTTCCAAAGGACTTAAAGGCCCCATGAGCAGTGAGTTCTGGCCACCCCAACCACAGCTGGGTGACCTTGGGCAGGTCACCTCGCCTCTCTCAGGTCTTTTTTTTTCTTCTTTAATGCTCACATGAGGATATTTTTCCACTGATTTTTTTTTTTTTTTAAGAGAGAGTGAAAAGGGGGAGGAGGGGGTGGAGAGAGAAATATCGATGTGAGAAAGCCATTGATTGGTTGCCTCCCAATTGGACCGTGGGCCGACGCTCTAATCACTGAGCTAAACCGGCTAGACCTGCTTCAGTTTTCTCATCTGAAAAACAGGCAAACAACCCTGCCTTGCGGGGGTCATTGTGTGAAATGTAAATGAGAGATTGAAGAGTGAGTTCTATGAATGGAACATAAAAATAAACACACACAATAATTTTAACATTTACATGGCACTATATATCAGACACTATTCTAAAAGCTTCTCTTAGAGCAGTGGTTCTCAACCTTCTGGCCCTTTAAAACAGTTCCTCATGTTTTTTACCCCCAACCATAAAATTATTTTTGTTGCTACTTCATAACTGTAATTTTGCTACTGTTATGAATCGTAACGTAAATATCTGATATGCAGGATGGTCTTAGGCGACTCCTGTGAAAGGGTCGTTCGACCGCCAAAGGGGTCGCGACTCACAGGTTGAGAACTGTCTTAGAGGAAAGTAATATGATTATATTTTATGAGAAACTGAAAGAGAGAAGTTAAGTGACTTGTCCAAGATTTCACAGATGATAAGTAGGTAGAGTCAGGATTCACATACAGGTAGTCTGGTTCCCCATTCCATATTCTTCACCACTGTGCAATATTGCCACATTAGTATACAAAGAAGTGCTCAAAGGATCAAAAGGTAAGCAGCTGGCACTACACTTTCCCAATGAAAAAGCTCAGCTTTTGGGCAGTTTTAAGGCAAGAATGAAGGCTTATGGTTTGCAAATACTAGTGAAGGCCTCGGGGGTCCCAGCTGAGGAGTCATCTTCTGAGGCTGTTCCCTCCCATTTGGGGTCAAAATGTCCAGGCCCAGTCCTGGCCAGTGTGGCTCAGTTGGCTGGAGTGCTGTCCTGTACACTGAAAGGATGTGGGTTTGATTCCCAATCAGGGCATATACCCTGGTTGCAGATTAAATCCCTGGTTGAGCGCATGCAGGAGACACTGTTTGATGTTTCACCCTCATGTCGATGTCTCTCTCTCTTTCTTCCTCTCCCTTTCTCTCTAAAATCAGCGAAAGCATGTCCCTGGGAGGGGATTTAAAAAAAAAGTGCCGTCACAGAAGACAGTATCTCTCTGAGTGATATACAAACAGCCTTTCAGGTCTTGGGCCAACCACTCCCCGTGGGGCAGTAGAGGTCTGAAGAGAAGGGGAAGCCCCAGCCGCCAGCTGATCAGCAGCAGACCTAACCTGGGACCTGCTTCGGCCTCCAGAGTCCTGCGTGCTCCCAACCTGCTGCCTCCTTTGAATGCAAGGACCACATGGTCTAATTAGAACCTGACAAAGCTGGGGAGCATCCTCTGTCTAACTCTGGGCTGGCCATGGTCTAATGACTTGGAAAACAACATTCTAACTGAGGACATGCCACCCCGACTTTGTCACCTGCCGTGACCTTCATTCTGCTCTACAGAAGCAGGCACTGTTGAGAATTCTGCCTTTCCAAAACACGGCCCAGAATGACAATGCATACACACAGGGGCCCTCAAGGAACCTCAAATAAATCAGAGATGAATGAATACACTGAACTACAGAACTGGGGGAGGCCAGCAGGGTGGCCCTGAGCTGTAGACCTACAGCCACTCTCTGGTCCTTCACAGAAAGTATGAGGAAGAGTACAACCGCATTCAGACAGACTTGCAATGAAATCTTGGCTCTGTAACGGCAGGCAAATCAACTGAATTTCTAGACTCAGTTTTCTCCATTGCAAAATGGAGGCAAAGGGCTGTTTTAAGGAAGAAATAAAACAGAATGTTTATAAAGCACCACAGAATAGGTAGGTGTGTAAGAAATTAATTAGTCTCCCTCTTTGCCATGTCTATAGCAGTTTGAGAAAATTAGTTATCTGTACTCTTCTAGTTGTGGAAATAATGTTCCAGAACAGAAGGGAAAAGCTATAGACACAAAGAAGTTGACTAGAGTATTATCTAGTGAAAAAACAGAAACAATATAAATGGGGATGATTAATAAACATTGCAATGCCCAGCCAGTGTGGCTCAGTGGTTGAGGTGGCCAGTTTGATCCCCAGTTGGAGGAATGCAGGAAGCAGCCCATCGATGTTTCTCTCTCATCAATGTTTCTTTCCATCTCTTCCTTCCTCTCTCTCTAAATCAGTAAAATATTATTTAAAAAAAATTGTACTGGCAGTTAAAAAAATTTGTTTATGTAAAACATGAAGCAAAACAAACAAACCTCATGAGTAAACATATGCAAAAGCGTTAATAACTATAATTATAACCAAGAGAAAATGCACCTGAACAAGGGCTGACAAAACATGGTATACTGAAAAGTATGACCTGTCAGGGCAGAAGGACTGAAAGAATTTTTCCTTTTTTAAAATTTAGAATTTCAATAATAGTGCTAGGACACTTGAGATGTTAAAAAACAAAGGTGATGCCCTAGCTGGTTTGGCTCAGTGGATAGAGTGTTGGCCTGCAGACTGAAGGTTCCCAGGTTTGATTCTGGTCAAGGGCACATGCCCGGGTTGTGGGCTTGATCCCCAGTGGGGGGTGTGCAGGAGGCAGCTGATCAATGATTCTCTCTCATCATTGATGTTTCTGTCTCTCTCTCCCTCTCCCTTTCTCTCTGAAATCAATAAAAGTATATATTTTTTAAAAAGGTGAAAATTCATGTACATGAAGGGGCTTAGTAAACAGCAAGTGTTATGTTGTGTTTGGGCTGTTTTGGGGGGCTGCCTGCGTGCTGGTCATGGTCGGAGCGGGGGTGTACCTTCTGTGTTCACCACGATGATTCCCTGCACTCCCTTCTGGCTCTGAAGTCGCTTCAGTGTCTCCTCCACCTCTGCCTGCCAGATAGAACAAGACCAAGGTTAGGAAGGGCCAGGAAGGCTGGATTAATTCACTCATACCCTTGACAGATGAATCACACATTCGTCTTCCAACAACAAACAAGTAACACCTGGGCACGTGGCACTTCCTCAAAGCTCCCAGGTCTGTTTAGAGCGGTGCCCAAGCCACTACCAGCACCTAAATCATCTACTCACACCCCCAGGATGGGGCAGGGCTCCTCTTGGCCCTTTGCCTACCAGGCACTATTATCCCTCCTGTCTCAGCTATTTGGGAGCAGAATATAAATACCATTCCTAAGAGTATAGACACAGCCATGACTCATGTATCTGGTATACCTAGGAGACAGGACGCTGATGCTCTGAAAAAACGCAAACAGTGGTGTCTAACAGGAAGGAGATACACTGCTATTTGTAGCCCAAACAGCACAACTGAAAACATTCCAAAGGAAACAAACTGACCCCATGAGGATAGACTCAGTGACTTAATAACCTAGCATCTGAGACAGTGTGATGCATGGCTCATAGCCACAGGAAATGTGCCTGAGGTAGGGGTTCTTTAATCCTGATTCTCCAGAAACTAGTCAGGGGGGATATTCTAGTACATGGAATTGTAAACAGAGGGGACAATCAGACATGTGGTTCCTCACCCTGCCATGCAAGGCATTCTCTATTATTATTTGCATCTTTTCCCTTTTCCTCCACTCTCCATCTACATTACATACCTCCCTGTGTCCTAACAAGGCCTCTTCTCTGCTGAAATCTAACAAATTCTTCTAGACCACCTAAACCATTACTTCCTCCAAGAAGCCTTTACTGATCCCCAACTCAGTGGAGTCTGCTACTTCTGACTCTGCAAACTCTTAAATTGTACCTCTCTGGCGATGCATTAGGTATTTTATTACTTAAGAGTCCCTAGAATGGTTTGCAGAATAGGGACTCAATAAACAACTGCTCAGCTGAAGTAGGTCTAACTCTTCCTGTGGATGGGAAACTGGCCTTGAAGTGTGTGTTTTCTGGAGGTCCCTTCCAGATAGGTCCAGAATCCAGCCAGAAGCTCCCCAAAAGCTGAGAGTTGGACCATGTTGGAAATAGAGGTTCCATTCTCCAAAAGAGTGGTTCCCCACCCCCAGAAGCTAATGAGTTGGCCTGGGAGGGGAGTTTCTAAACAGTGGATGGAAACAGCACAATGAATTATTGTCTTTCTAGTAGGCACAAGGCTAACAACAATCCAGTCACGGCCATCCACTCCCCTATGATGTAATACTCTCAAATGCTGGAGAGAAGGGCAAACAAATTCCTCCTACATAATGGCACATAGTCTGCTGCCTCTAAAATCTGGAGCCTGTGTAAAAGGACAGGGCTACATGAGAGTACAGTACAGTGGGTCATGCATGTATGAGATCATCGTTCATTCAACAGACTGTCACTGAGCTCCCCCTATGCACTATTCTGGAGAAGGGGGTAAAGTACGATAGTAGTCAATACCACACAGTCCTCAGTCTGACCTGGTAACCTTCCTGGAAATTAATTCTGAGGAATAATCCAGAAGAACACAGCAAGATGTTTGCTGCAGTGACATCAACATTAGCAAAAAGCAGAAAGAGCCATGGCTGGTGTGGCTCAGTGGTCAAGGGCATGTACCTGGGTTGCCGGTTTGCTCTGAGCCCCGGGTCGGGGCATGTGCAGAAGGCCACCAGTCGATGTGGCTCTCTCACCTCAATGTTTCTATCTCTTTCCCTCTCCCCCATTCCCTTCCACTCTCTCTGAAAAGCAATGGAAAAAATATCTCATGTGAGGATTAACAGAACAAGAAAATATTAAAAAACCCCAAAAGCTGGAAATACCCAATGATTAGGGAAAAGACCAACTAAATTGAGGAACATCCATTCACAGGAAACATACACTTACCAAGAAAGGAAGGACATAAAAGTATACGATGACCTATTCAGTACCTGATACAGGTCAGATACTGGGATGAATATTTACAGACACATATGTCCTCTGACCCTTCCATAGTGAGTATGATCTCCACTTTACAACGAAGAAACTGAAATTCAGAAAGAAGAGTTTTGCCCAAGGACACACAGGTCAAGAGAAGAGGTGAATATACCACTGACCACAACTGATGAGGACCTTGCCCTCAGGGAGCTCACATTCTGATAGAACTTTAAATAACAAGTGACCAAGATTCTTGCAGGGGATAGGGCAGGGGAGCCCGGGGATGCCACTCTGGCTGGTGAGGTCAGGAACACCTGAGGATGTAATCGTTAAGCCAAGAACTAAATGATGAGAAAGAAAAGCATTCCAGGCAACAGTATGAAAGCAAAGGCAGAGACATGGGAACAAACTTGGCATGTTCAAGGAATAGAGATGATCAGTATTGCCAAGTTTCTTTGCTAATCTGATAGGCAAAAAACAAATAATAGAAAGTCAACCTTTCTTTAATTTTTAAGAATATGCATATAGATCAATGGAACAGAACAGAGACCCGAGAAATTGACCCAAGCCATTACGCTCAATTAATATTTGACAAAGGAGGCAAGAGCATACAATGGAGTCAAGACAGTCTCTTCAATAAATGGTGTTGGGAAAATTAGACAGATACAGGCAAAAAAATGAAACTTGACCACCAACTTATATTATACACAAGAATAAACTCAAAATGGATAAAAGACTTAAGTGTAAGTTGTGAAACCATAAAAATCCTAGAAGAAACTATAGACTGCAAAATCTCAGACATCTCTCATAGCAATATGTTTACGGATACATCTCCCAAGGTAAAGGAAACTAAGGAGAAAATAAACAAATGGGACTACATCAAAATAAAAAGCTTCTGCACAGCAAAAGAAACCACAACAAAATGAAAAGGGAGCCCACTGTATGGGAGAACATATTTGGCAATGATACATCTAATAAAGGGTTAATGCCCCAAATATATAAGGAACTCATACAACTTAACAAAAGAAGATAGATAAACAATCCAATTAAAAAATGGGCAAAGGACCTACATAGGTACTTCTCCAAAGTGGACATACAGATGGCCAAGAGCCATATGAAAAAATGCTCAAAGTCACTGATCACCAGAGAGATGCTAATTAAAATGACAAAGAGGTATCACCTCACACTTGTCAGAATGGCTATTATCAATAAATGACAAGTGCTGGTGAGGATGTGGAGAAAAGGAAACCCTAGTACACTGCTGGTGGGAATGCAGACTGGTGCAACCATTATGGAAAACAGTATGGAGTTTTCTCAAAAAATTAATTATGGAACTGCCATTTGACCCAGTGATCCCACTTCTAGGAATATATCCTAAGAGACCCAAAAAACCAATCAGAAAGAATGTGTGCACCCCTATGTTCATAGCAGCACAATTTACAGTAGCTAAGATCTGGAAACAGCCCAAGTGCCCATCAGCAGATGGGTGGATAAAAAAGCTGTGGTACATTTATACCATGGAATACTATGCAGCAGTAAAAAAGAAGAATCTCTTACCCTTTGAGACAGCATGGAGGGACCTGGAGAGTATCATGCTAAGGGAAATAAGTCGGTCGGAGAAAGACAAGTATCACATGATCACACTCATATGTGGAATCTAAGTAACAAAATAAACTGATGAACAGAGTGGATCCAGAGACATGGAGTCATGGAACAGATTGTGAAATCTCGGAGGGAAGGCAGGGGGTTGGGTAGGTTGGAAGTAATCAACCAAGAATATTGTATGCATATATGCATGGCCCTTGGCCACAGACAATGGGGCAGTAAGGGCTTGGGTCGGGGGAAGTGGTGGGGGCTGGCTGGAGAGGGTCAATGGAGGAAAAAAAGGGGACATATGTAATACTTTCAACAATAAAGAATTATTTTAAAAAATAATAAAAAATAAAATAAAATAAAATTTAAAAAAAGTTATCAGTGAAGTTAAAATGGAATCTTGATCAACCAAAGGACTTGTATGCATGCATAACCAATGGACACAGACAATAGTGGGGGGTGGGGAAGGTCTGTGTGTGGGGGTGGGGGTGGGCTGGGAGAGGTCAATGGGGGGAAAAAGGAGACATATGTAATACTTTCAACAATAAAGAATTAAAAAACAAAACAAAAAAACAAAAAACAACAACAAACTAAAAAAATGGAATTTCTTTTGTCTTTTGATTTTCAAAAACTCTTGTATGTTAGAAATAATACACTTTTGTGTATCATATAAATTACACTTCTCCCACTTTTTTCATTTAATCTTGTGATTTTTTCAGTAATCAGAAGTTAAAAATTTTTATGTAGTCAAAATTTTCCCCCCTATAAGACTAGAGAATAGCTTCTCCAACCTGATCCCAACCAGTAGGGTGGAGCTAGGCCTGGGTAAATGGGGGCCATGAGGTCTAGAGAGGAGTCCATGAGGCATAGGGCAATAGCTACCTGTCAGGGCTCAGAGAAACTGCTTAAAACAAACTTCACATACAGCCCAATAGGAGCCAACAAAGGAAACAAATGTTGCCAAAAAATTAACATACCCCAATAAGGACATTTGAAGATGGAAAAGGACAGTTCTAGTTAGGCATCCAAGTCATGCCAGCTCTGCCTCAAATTCAGTCTGCTATCCCTGGAGTGCTAGCTACTGGTACCAGAAATATCTAAGTAGATATGCAGCCCCCCAGGGTGAACTCACAGAGAGAGCCCAACTGGTACCCTCAGCATTCTGGTTCTGCAGTCCTATCAACACGAGTGTCTGCATCAGGGAAAGGACAAAACTCCAGGTTTCTGTCCCAGGTGTGTGTTGCTGACAGATGGGAAAATAAGTAGCAGTAAAACTCCAGGATTATTTATTGGTTCAGCATAAGAGAAATAACTATCTGAAGCAAATAATTCACAAGGGAACTGTGATCAATTTAACTACTAACCATAAAAATTTGAAAAAATTTTTAATCTTCACCCAAGGACATGCTCAGAGAGAACAGAGAGGGAGAGAGAGGAGAGGAAAATGGGGGGAGAGAAGGAGAGCAAGAGAAACATCGATTGGTTGCTTTCCTTATGCTCCCTGACCGGGATCAAACCTGCAACCCAGGTATATACCCTGAACAGGAATCGAACCTGAAACCTTTTGGTTCATGGGACAATGCTCAACCATCTGTGCCACTCTAGCTGGGCAAAAATTTCAATTTTTATAAAACCAAAATGAATCGAAAGGATAGAAAAACATCTGCATCAAGTATAATGGACAAAAGAGCAATTCCAAACATAACACAAGCCTGGCAGGTGTGGTTCAGTGGTTGAGCATGGACTCCTACACCAGGAGGTTACCAGTTCGAATCCCAGTCAGGGCACATATCCAGGTCAGGTTACGTGTGGGAGGCAACCCATCTATGTTTCTCTCTCACATCAATGTTTCTCTCCCTTCTACTCTCTAAAATCAATAATTAAGTAAATAAATAAAAAACAAGAGAAATTACAAGTACATAGAAAAATGTTCATTGTTCCCTATAAAAAAAGAAGTGAAGAATTATAGCAATGCTGAGGTAACTTCTTTCACTGTTTGCAATGTTATGGCAAAACTGGTACAAAAGCAATATGACCTTTTGGAAAAGCTACAGGATAACACTATTACAACAACCATAAAGCGCTGGTCCTTTCACCTCAGAATTTCTTTTCCTGAGACTTTGCCTAAGGAAATAATCTAATAATTAAAAAAATAAAAATAAAACAACATCTACACAATCATAGGCATTCATCACAGCATTATCTCTACTAGTGAAGAACTAGATGCAACACAAGTGTACATCAGGGGAATGGTTTGGCAAATTATGGTACAGCTGTTTCACTGATTATTACACAGCACACAAAAATTCATCACAAAGATGATGCAACAAGATTAAAACAAATGAAAAAGAAAAATTAGTATATACACCTTGAAAAATATGCATATCTGAACAAGGAGGAAGGACAACATAGAGATGAAAAGAGTTGTGTGGTGGGAGTAAAACTGGTGAGAATTATAGATGATCATTGTTCTAAAGGGCAATTTGGCAGGTTCTACCAAAATGTAGAATATGCATGCCAGAAGTACCACTTGTAAGAATCTATGCTACATAAACACTACATAATGACTACCATGAATGTAATAAAATAAAATAAAAAGGACAAGAATAGTTACAGCAGCACTGTCTGGAGTGAAAAACTGTAAACCACCTAAATGTATATATAGCAATAGAATACTAGACAAGAATGAAGTAGTCTTTTTCCTTTGGTCTTGTTGCTACAGAGAGAGCAAGGTGGGTCAGCAGCAACTCTACAGGAGCCATCTGAGGAAATTCGGCCAGGGTTCTCGTTCTTGCCACGTCTGCTCAAACCTCCGCGGTCTGATCTGGAAATAGGGCCTCAACATGTGCCGCCAGACATAGGTTTCATTAAGTTGGACTAAGTGAACTTCCATGAATGGGTCCTTCAAGACATCTACCTTATGACAGAACACTATCTCTTTGTACATAAAATAAAAAAATCTTCAAAAAGAAAAAAAATGTAGATTTATATATTGATATAGAAAAGTGTTTAAATTTTTTAAAAAAATATTTTTATTATTGATTTTAGAGAGAGAAAGGGAGTGGGGGAGAAACATCGATGTGAGAGGGTAACATTTATCATCTGCATGCCCCCTACTGGGAATTGAGCCTGCAACCTGGGCATATGTCCAGACTGGGAATCAAACCAGCAACCTTTCCATGCATAGGACCAGGCTTAACCAACTGAGCTACACTGGCAAGGGTGACATGAAAAAATGTTTGACTTTTTAAAAAAATATATTTTATTGATTTTTTTTTTACAGAGAGGAAGGGAGAGGGATAGAGAGTTAGAAACATCGATGAAAGAGAAATATCAATCAGCTGCCTCCTGCACACCCACTACTGGGGATGTGCCGCAACCAAGGTTCATGCCCTTGACTGGAATTGAACCTGGGACCCTTCAGTCCACAGGCCGACGCTCTATCCACTGAGCCAAACCGGTCAGGGCAATGGTTTGACATTTTTAAGTGAACAGAGTAAGTTGCAGAATGAGATATCTATACATAGCCTAGAGCAGGGGTGGGCAAACTTTTTGACTCGAGGGCCACAATGGGTTCTTAAACTGGACCGGAGTCCGGAACAAAAGCATGGATGGAGTGTTTGTGTGAACTAATATAAATTCAAAGTAAACATCATTACATAAAAGGGTACCGTCTTTTTTTTTTTTAGTTTTATTCATTTCAAACGGGCTGGATCCGGCCCGCGGGCCATGGTTTGCCCACAGCTGGCCTAGAGTAAACTTGATATGTATAAACATATATGTTCCAGTTTCATGTAATAAACAGCTTATATGTATGTGTGCTTATGCACTAAACCAATCTGGAAGGAAACACACCAAACTGCCAACAGTTGATACCATAGGAAGTGAGATGGGCCTTCACACACCTTCTACATTATACACTTTGGTACTGCTTAAATTTTCTAAATATATTTTGCTTTTATGAGTATAAACACACAACAGCATGATACAGGTTGCAGTAAGCTACAATTTATGTAAGAAAAAGAGGGGCATATATATGCTTATACAAGAAACTAAACTAACAAGCCTATCTAATAAAGAGGCAATATGCAAATTGACCGTCACTCCAACACACAAGATGGCCACCCCCATGTGGACACAAGATGGCCGGCAGGGGAGGGCAGTTGTGGGCGATCAGGCCAGCAGGGAAGGGCAGTTGTGGGCGATCAGGCCAGCAGGGGAGGGCATTTGGGAGGGACCAGGCCTGAAAGGGAGGGCAGTTGGGGGCAATCAGGCCTGAAAGGGAGGGCAGCTGGGGGCAACAAGGCCTGCAGGGGAGGGCAGTTGGGGGTAACCAGGCTGGCAGGCAGAAGTGGTTAGGGGCAATCAGGCAGGCAGGCAGGCAGGCGAGCGGTTGGGAGCCAGCAGTCCTGGATTGTGAGATCCTGGTGGGATCGAGCCTAAATGGGCAGTCGGACATCCCTCGAGGGGTCCCAGATTGGAGAGGGTGCAGGCTGGGCTGAGGGCACCCTCCAGCCCTGTGCACGAATTCCGTGCACCAGGCCTCTAGTATTTCAGAAGAGACTGAGGCTGGAGGTCAGGGTTAAATGGGAGATTTATTTTTCACTTCTATCTTTTCAGATTATTTTTTACTGTATGCAAGTAGCTGTTAAAAAATTACTTTTTTGTTTAGTCTAAAAAGTGATATGAGCCTGGCCAGTGTGGCTCAGTGCTTGGGTGTGGGCCCATGCACCAGGAGGTTACTGGTTCGATTCCCTGTCAGGGGTTGCAGGCTTAATCCCCAGCAGGGGACACGCAGGAGGCAGCCAATCAATGATTTATCACTGATGTTTCTATTTCCCTCTCCCTCTCTGAAATCAATAAAAACATCTCTTTAAAAAAATTCTTTAAAAAGTGATGTGATACTGATGTCCAGGCAGGAGTGTGCAGATTACTCCAGTGTAGGTGCCCAGGAGGCTGCAGACCTGGCCCCACAGTCAATATGGCACTAAGGCTCATGGGTTAAAAAAAAAAAAAAAGTGATGTGAAAGATGAAGTCACATGTTTGAAACTTTATCACATTTTTTTAGTGATGTTAAGAGATTGTTTATGGTGTAATAATAAATGAAAAAAAGCAGAGTCCATAATTGAACATTCAGTAGTAGCTAACCACATATAGCAAAAACTGAAGAAATAAACATTTGAAGTAATATGGTAATTATATAAGGGGTTGCTTCTAGGTCATGGCACTGTTTCTTTTTCAATTTTTCTTATAAGCTTTATTTATTTGTTTTTTTGTTAATCCTCACATGAAGATATTTTTCTATTGATTTTTAGGGAGAGGGAAAGGCAGAGAGAAACATTGAAACACGTCCATTGGTTGCCTCCCTGTGAGCCCTGACCAGGGCCAGGGCCAGGGCAGGGGCGGAGCCCGAAACCAAGGTAAGTGCCCTTGACCAGAATCGAACCGGGGACCCTTTGGTCCTCAGGCCTATGGTCTATCCACTGAGCCAAACCGGCTAGGGTTAGGCTTTAAATTTTTAAGAGTTTTGAACAGTAATACATAGTCACATGGCTTAACATTTAAAAGGTCTTTTCAATTTTTGTTTTTTTTTACAAGTTGGATTAAAAACATGAAAAACAAACCTGTAAAGGCGCAAGGAGCCCAGTTCCAGCCAGCAAGGCAGGGATCCCCAAGAGTGGTCCCGCCCGTTTCTGATTCCTGCACCAAGTCCCAGCGACGCGAAAGAACCACACGGATAGAAAGGCAGGAGTCAAGTTTAAAGGGTTCAAATCCTACTCCGCCATTTCCTGAGAGAAGGCACTAGGCTTCTCCAGGCTTTAGATTTCTAGTGTGTAAAACGGGGATCATGGTCTTCCCCAGGCTTCAGATCTCTAGTGTGTAAAATGGGGATCATGGTCGTACCCATCTCACAGAGACGTGGTGAGGAGAAAAACCAAACTACGTACAGCGCTTATTAGTGCCTGTCATCAATGAAGCTTCCGGGAAACGTTCTCGTTGTTACACTCGCGCGACAAGGCCCAGGATGCTAGGACGCAGGGGCCTGTGGTCCGACTCCGTCAGACCCTAGCCAAGGCCCGAGCTCCAGCTTCCGGCCAAGGGGACCGGGATCCCCTGCCCCCTCCGGGGTCCCCTCCGTCAGGGACTGGAGGCCCACGCCTCTGGCGTTCCGCCCTCCAGTCAGCTGAGGCCCAAACCCACGGATTCCCTGCCCGGCGCTCTGAGGCGCCCCCGGAGGGTCTAAAGCCAAGCGCAAGGTGTGGGGCGACATCGCTCGGCCACCTTCCGGCTGCCAGCCACCAGTCTACACGAACACTCACCATCTCGGACGGATCGGGTAGCTCCGCGTCGTCAACACTGCCCAGGCCGCTGCGTTTCTGCGCCTGCGCAGAGCACCAAGTCAAAACAGACAGCTTTAGTGACCAATCAGGAATCAGCGTGAGGGGGCAGGCAGATCTTTGATTTCCCAGGGCTCGTGGGAATTTGCCCTGCGCCGTCCGAAAGTGAAGAGCGAAGGAGCCCTTCAGCTACGGAAAATTCCCCACTCCCGTTGTGCCCTAAAGATGCTGGTTTGCTGTGTCGGAAGAGGCTTTCAACTCTCATCCGAGGTCTGAGCTGGCTCTGAAAGCCCCGAGTGGAGGGTGGTGGGCGATTATGAAGGCGAGGAAGGAAGTCGCTGAGAGGCCCCCCACCCCCTCTGCGTCCCTATTGAGGCAAAGTGAGGCGCGGAGCCCAAATGCGCCGAAGATGCGGGAAAGTCCAGCGCGACCCCCTTGGGAATATTACGTGCAGGCTCAGATAGGAAATGGGTAGGGCTAGCCTGGGAGTCGGCCGTCGGAGGACTCCGAGCTCAGCCCCACCCGTGTTACCTTGAAGAAGCCACATCACATCTGTACTCGCTACCTCCCCCTTCTCACCTTTAAAAGGGGCCCCCTTCTTTCGAAAGCCCTATGTTGTTCCTTTTCCCACTCTTGAGCCATCTACTCTCAAAGACCACAAAGGTTTCTGGATTTTCTAGCAGGAAATAAATTGCCATTTAGTGGACCTTGTGTCTCGTTACTGGCCCGTGCTATCTCCAGTAGCCTCAGCATCCCTTTTTACAAATGCTTTTTCTTGAGGCACTGGAGCTTGCTAAATTCAACACAGATGCGCTAACTCCAATTTTTTAATTCTACTTTAGCCTCTCTTAACGGGAAGGTTTTGGTGCTCCTTCCAGGGGTGTCTGTACTACAGTTAAAAGGATTGGATAGTGACGACAGTAAGGCAACCTGGCAGACACCAACTGAGGATCAAGGTTAGCATTACTGGTAATGAGATATAGATTGATGTGTGCCCCCGTTATCAGGCACTAAGGGCACATCATTTCTGTAGTATTCTTCTCAAAAATCTATGGCCTTAACTATTGAGAAAACATTAAACCAAATTTGAGGGACATTATATAAAGAGTCTGACAGTACTCTTCAAAAGATGTCAAGGTCATGAAAGACAAGAATGATGGCACAGATTGGAGGATACTGAGAAAAATGTCATTGGTGGAAAAATTGGTGAAATCTGATTAAGGCTGTAGTTTAGTGTCAAGTCATTAGCTTTGATAACTGTTCCAAGTTATACAGGATGTTAACATTCGGAAAAGCTGAGTAAAGGAACTCTGTATCACGTGCAACAGTTCTGTTCTCTGTAAGGGCTGCAGACTGGATCTCAAAACATCCCAGAAAATAAGCACACAAGGGTTCATCACCATCTTACTTATATGGAGAACCAGGCTAAGGGGTGAAAGGGTTTGACAAGATCACAATCACAGAAGCAAAACAGAAACTGGCCAATCGTTCATAGGACTGGAGCCAGAATGAGAGGGAAGGAGGAGTTAAAGATAGTGGTTGGCTCTGAGTGGCAGGCTTAGGAGTTTTGGAGTTTATTCTGTGGACATGGAGGAATCACTAAGATTTTAAGCACGGAAGAAGCACGAGACTGAGGTCTCCCACAGACCATTTTCAGGCAGCACAAGATGGACTGGAAGGGAGAGAATGGAAGCAATGACAGGTTTCTACACTCAACCAGGGTAGGAGTAAAGATGTGGGCTGTGGCAATGGAGGCAGCTCTGAGAGAAATTATTCAAGTTTTAGAGATGGATTTGATGGGATTTGGAAACCAATTAGATGGATCAGCTGAATAAGTTACAGAAGACTCCAAGAATTGCAGTTTGTGAGTAGCAATAGAGCAAAACGTTTAACCCTGCAATCTTTGGAGTCAGTTCTGGATTCCAGTTTGCCTTCTTGCCACTAAATAGCAGTGGACACTTCAAGTTAATGACTTTGAGTATTTATTTTCTTATCTGTAAAATACAGGTGATTATCTCTGAGAATGACCAGGATGACTAAATGACTGCATGTAACATATCTATGTTTGGGACATAGTAATAAGTGTTGACAGTCGCCCTGAGACTAAGTGAATACAGGCATGGTATTGATTGCTAGGACAGCGAAGACAAATAAAAAGCAGGTCTGAATCAGAAATGAAGAAAAATAACAGTATGGCTGTTTTCAGTGATCTGCAGATATGATTGCAAATTCTCAGCATCCTTACCTGTGGGATGCCTTGAGGAAATCCTCTTGCCCATAGCATCTTTGCTTAATGGGAACCTGTTCCTAAGAGACCAACACTGAGATCTCTACTGAAGATCCTCCTCTCCTTGCTAACCACAAAAATTCCCTTGAATCCTACCCCCATATGTCCTGACCACAAAGAAGCCCTAAAGACACATAGGAATTGACAAGTGAAATGAGTTAGGAGTAACAGCAGTATGTTCTGGTGTTACTCAATCTGACACTTCCTAAAAGTTTGGGAAAATAGCCAGTCAACCACAGCTGAGTCCGTTTGATTCATTGTAGGATTTGGGGCTGGAAAGCCAATGGTCAGTAAAAGCAATTACTTCTTTCCCCAAGGAAGATTTCCTCATGCTGTGGGGGACACCTGTTCCCTCTTTTTATTAGTCACACTGAAGCTAGTTTTCTAGCTGCTTATATTGGGCAGATTAAACAGGAGAGGGTGTATTTCTCAGAACCTGCAGTTTCTGTCCTCCAGTCACTGTTAGATCAGCATATTAAGAAATTCCACATCCTTACCTGTAGGATACCTTGAGGAAACCCTCTTGCCTTAGCCTCTCTCCCCTGGTTCTATTTTATTAAATTTTAATTTGTATAGTTTTAGTCCGCACGGAGAATATGTTTTTAATTTTTAGAGGGAGAGAAAGAAACACTGATGCGAGAAAGAAACATTGAACGGCTGCCTCCTGCATGCGCCCGCACCAGAGATCGAACCCAAAACCCTTTGGTGTATGGGACAACGCTCCAACCAACTGAGCCACTCAGGCAGGGCCGCTAGTTCTACTTTAAGCAAGAGGTTGATCACCTTGTTTCCCAATAAGAAAAGGTCTTCTGAAGCTAATGAGCAGGACAGCTTATTGAGAACAGTTTTTAAAAAAGGTATTTTTATTGATTTCAGAGATAGGATGAGAGAATCATCGACTGGCTGCCTCTTGCATACCTCCTACCAGGCATGTGCCCTGACTGGGAATCAAGGAGAATCAAACCGTGACCTCCTGGTTTATAGGTCGATGCTCAACCACTGAGCCACAGTGGCTAGTCAAAGAACAGTCAGTCTTGATAACTAGCTGGTGTTTCTCTACTCAGCACCATGGCTGGGGTCCTGACTTAGATGTTTTCATCTTGGTTCTCTTCACAATAGGTACCAAATCCAGTATCACCTTGGTGGGTCTTTATAGTTTTTTTTTCTACCTACCCATCAGAACAGACAGGCTGTAACCTGGCCACTTACAAAAACAGTCAGAAATCTGTAAGATCTGGTCCTTTATGCAGGTAGGGAAAACCTTCTTGCTCAAGACTAACAGAAAAATGTGCAAATGAAAGACCAAAAATCTTTAATTATAAAGTTACATCTTTTAAGGAAATGCAAGTGAGGCAGCCCCCTTAAGGGCCTTTATTAAGAGCACTTGACTCCCTGTGATATTTGTAGAGTTACCTGAGTATTTGAAATTACAGTTCAAGAAAAAAAAAGGAATGCTAATACAGTAATATACAATCCAGTGGTGCTATTTCGTTTTTAGTTAATGAAAGCATAGCATATATACAAATAATTTTGTAAATAACCCTAAAAGGAAAACAAATAAGAGGGGGCTGGAGATACCAACAATATTAAATAGAAGTAGTTAACCTTAGGAGTTTAGAAGGATGGAGTTACATTCCAAACCAAGGAGGGATATAAATATAGCAAAGTCTAATTCCATGAGGCATCCCTGGTAACATTTCGGATTATTAATTAGATAAATAAAAAGGGGCAGAGTGGGCTTGACTGAAATAGCTTATTTAGCATGAGACCTTTGTGCGGAGGTGAGTCATATTTCACTTAAATTTCTATGACTTGACATTAGTATGTCAATCTCTTGCTGAAAAATGAGTATCTCAATCTTAAATAGAGTTATTGTAAGTCTTAATAAAATTAGATTCTTCTGCACAATATAAGATCATAAAAGACAGAGTAGGAATTCATTATTATGAGTGGCTGGATCAGTTTTAAAGCACTCTGTTTGATTAAACAAGTGAGGTCCTTCCCTACTGCCTAGGCTGTGAAATGCTGCTTTCCCCAACCTCCCAAAAGAGCAGAAGAATAAGGCAATTTGCTCATTTTACTTTGTTTTTATTTCAACATAACATGCAGTAAAAAAAAAAAAATTTTAACAATTTATTAGCATTTACAATGCTCACAAAGAAAAAGGACTCTAAAAGCAATTTAGTTCAGATTTAAGAAATTGCTCTAATTAAACACTTACAATAAATCTATTTCCAAATGTTCAGCTTATACCAAAATTTAAGATAGTATTTGGAGATATTTATGTCTGCTATTTGCAGTATTTTTTATAAAACCTCTGATTCTTGGGATATCCAGCCCCCATTTTCCTAACACAGCAGGGAAGACATATACATGTGGCCACTTAAATTAAAGGAAGAAATGGAGTAAGGGAGATCTCAGGCTGCAAAAATATATACAAGCATTTACCTTTTCCAGAACTAAATGTTTTCTCCATAAAAATATTAAATAGCCAAGCCCTATAGAACTAGGGCCGGGGCTACTTAAAATATAACTATTCTGTATTTTAAAAATATAGGGCAGAAAGCCTTTTGGGTGATATTTATACATTTTCACACAATATTTCTAGGTCCCTAAATGAATAATCAAGCATTATGTAGAATCAGAAAAGTCTACTTTCTTACATTATCTCTTAATTTAATCTCATAAATCTCTAGTAAATATTGCAGGTAACTACATTTCAATATCAGAATTCATCTCTATGGGAAGTCTTTATA